CTAGCTTGTGTTGAAATGAGATTGATGGATGAGATAAAAGATTGGTCACGAAATAAGATAAGGCTGATGCCATCACCGGAAGTGATGTCACCATACATGATGTCACAGGAAATGACGCTGTACCATATGTGGTATTATGGCCTAAACCCTTTCCCTTCTGGGGTCAGGCCTAATGCCTTCAGCCTCTTGTCCCCTTACCAGAAGGCCCACCTTACCTAGGAAGAGAAACCAATAGGATTTGGTGTCTGGCCCAGAACCCCAGAATCCATGACTGATAAGTAATGTCACCCCTAGAAATGACAAAGAAACACAGCTAGCTCAAGGTGTCTGTGGGGTAGTACTGAATGCCCCAGGTTCAAACCCTGCTCATGATTCATGAAGCGAGTAATTGCAAAAGTGGCACTCAAACTGACCTGAGAAGCTTGGACATCTGCAAATATTTAATAATATGCCTCCCACAGTGGGCTAGTTTGTGCCTGTTAGCAGATACGTTACCATTTGCCACCAGGAAGGGTGAACTCCTGGTCACTCCACAGCTGATGAGAGGAATGAACACTCAGGGCCCATTAGCACATTTTAGAGATTTTAAGGTTCATATTCCTGGCTGTAGGTTTCCAAAGGTGCCTAAGGGATTTGGATGCCTACTTCCTACTGAAAGCGATGGATCCAAGCCCCTAGGTGGCTTTGAAAATCCCAGCCCTAGTCTGAGCATCAACAGACCCATCCAGGAGGGAGAGGTAAGTGTTGTGTTTAGAGGAAGTTGCTCCCTTGTTTATAGAACTAGAGGGCTGTGAGAATTTGCAGATTGTGCATTGATGGTCTCTGTTAGGGCCCTGCCTGAGTTTCTTGCTTCAAATAAAGTTTGCATGCGTACACGCACAGGGGACCCCGTGAGTTTCATGAATGCAGCAACACGCCCAGATAACGAGGCATTGTGTGAGAAAATATGAAAAATAAATGCCGTCAAACTAACTTGATTTCTTTTGTTGTTGTTGAGCTTACAAAGTTTGGACGCTAAAGGTAATAGTGTTGATGTAATAGACTTCTGTAAGGCGGTTGACTTGGTAGTGTATGATGTTTTGATTAAAAAGGTAGAAAGATTCAAAATCAACATGGCACACATTAAATGGATTCTTAACTCGCTAACTGATCGTCTCAAAATGTAACTGTACATGGGGAATCAGCATCGCGTGGGTGTGTTTCCAGTGGGGTCCCGCAGGGATCGGTTCTTGGCCCTCTGCTATTTAACATTTTTGCCAGTGACCAGGAATAAAACATCAAATCATCACTGATGAAGTTTGCAGATAACACAAAGACTGGGTGGGTGATAAATAATGAAAAGGACAGGTCACACATTCAGAGCAATCTGGATTGCATCCGAAGAAGTGGGTTGTAGCCCACGAAAGCTTATGCTCTAATAAATTTGTTAGTCTCTAAGGTGCCACAAGTACTCCTGTTCTTTTTGCGGATACAGACTAACACGGCTGCTACTCTGAAACCTGGATTGCTTGGTAAACTGGGCCCAAGAAAACAATAGGCATTTTAATATGGCTAAATGTAAATATCTACATCGAGAACAAAGAATGTCAGCCATACTTGCAGGATGAGGGACTCTCTCCTGGGAAGCAGCGACTCTGAGAAAGATTTGGGGGATGTGGTGGACAATCAGCTGAACATGAGCTCCCAGTGCGATGCTGGGGCCAAAAGGGGTAATGCGTTGCATAAATGGAGGAATACGGAGTAGGAGTAGGGAGGTTATTTGACCTCTGTATTTGGCACTGATGTGACCACTGCTGGAATCCTCTGTCCAGTTCTGGTGTCCACATTTCAAGAAGGATGGTGGACTGGGTTCAGAGCCACAGGAATAATTGAAGGAGTCGAATATATGCCTTATAAGGATAGACTCAAGGACCTTAGTCTATTTAGCTTAACAAAGAGAAGGTGAAGGGGTGACTTGATTCAGTCTATAAGTAACTACCTGGGGAACAAACCTTTGATAATGGGCTCTTCAGTCTAGCAGAGAAAGGTACGTCACAATAAGCTGCATATTTTTAACAGTGCGAGTAATTAATCATTGGAACCAAAGGTCATTGTGGAGTCTCCACCACTGGCGATTTTTCAATCAGGATTAGCTGTGTTTCTAAATGATCTTTCTTAGGAATTCTGTTGAGAAGTTCCCTGGCCGCGTTACACAGGACGGCAGCCTAGATGGTCACAGTGATCCCTTCTGGTGTTGGAATCTATGAACAAGTGAGCTGGGGAATCTCCCAAGGACTATTTCCCTAACAGCACATGGGATCCATGATCAGAATGGGAGCAGCTTCCATGCCACCTGCTAACCCCAAACACCACCAGCAATGCCAAGGACATGTTCTGCCCTTGGGGCACCACCTGGCCATAGAAAAGATAGCACTGCCGCCAGGTGTCAGCTCCTGGGGCATGGGCAGCTCTGGGGGCAGCATTTCAATTATTGCTAGAACCAGGCAAGGGCGAGTGGCTGAGTCAAAGATTTGATGAGATGGTCTCTTATCACTTGTTAGGGCCACATGCTCATCCCCTTAATCCTGCCGAGCAGCCACTTACTCTGGAAGTCCCTGAACTCAATGGGTCGTCAGGTAGAGAAACGTAACAACCCGGCATGCTTCAGGGGATCCCATTCTGGCCGTCAGTGATTTGGGATCTTTGCTTTTGTTTCACGTTCAGTGTTTGTCATTGAACCCGCAGCAACAAATTACACAACAAAACAGACAGGAAATGATGTGGAGCAGGTAGTGAAGAGAGGGGCACAGACTGCGGGAAACAGGGTGTCACAATCTGCAGGCCCAGAAACAACATACAGACGGCAGCACTGCCAGGCCTCAGCATGTACAAATCACGAGTCAGGCCACAACAATCATCATCTTAGCTTAAAAATCATGTGTTAAAAATAATAACATTTGTGTTCTTTTTCTTGGCCTTCTGGTTTCTGAGTCTTTAGGGAGCACCCAGGTCATGTTTTCCAGCTTTTCTTTGCAACCATGAGCTCCAGAAATTTACTTAGAAACATAAAAAGCTGAGCTCCTCGCCTAATCATAAGAAAAACACCAGATTTCATGAGACTCATTGTAAAGTCAAGAGAGTTGTCAGCTCTGCTAAAGATCCCAGGAAGGGCTTGTCTGAGTGATAGACTGGTAGTTTTAAGTAGAGTGTATTATGAGAGAGCTGGTTGCAACTCCATAGCTAAGGTCAAAAGGAGCATTTCATTATGGGTCAGTCCATGGGTGGCGGGTACCATAGGCTGGAGGAGGCTGTGACTCCCCGAACAGTCAGGTGTGGCCCCTCCCACACTCTGCCCCCAGCCTCCTCCCCCTGCTTCCACTCCGTGTGGCTGTTCCAGTCTCCCTGTGGGGTGGTCCCGGCTCGGGTCGCGCCACCCGCCCACCCGTCACTCCAGGGCTGGGGGTGGAGTGGGAGGCTGTGGGTTCTCTGGGGCTGGGTGGGGGCTAGCCTGGGGCAGGGCCAGAAGGGGCGGGGCTTCAGGAGGGAGGGGTAGGGCTGGGGGCTAGCCTCCCCAGCCAGCGGTTCATGCGCCACTCATGGGTCTGTCTTCACTGCAGAGTTAACCTGGGCGCCTAGTAGGGTGTTGTCCCTAATTTCCTCCTGTCTACACACAAAACCTTCTGATGTGAGTTTAGTGGTGCTTTCAACCTGGACTTGCTGGCCGAGCTTGGGGAGAGGCTAGAGCTCGGGTGCTGGTAACTCACTCGTTTTGTAGTGAGGACACAGACTAATCACTTGAGTGCTGATGATAGTCCTCCATTGCCTTCCCACAATTCCCTCCCCCATGTGCCTAGAAAGACAGACAACTTCTCCCATAATTCACTGGGAAAGAATCACAGAACGACTGTGACAGGATCCCCCGAGTGGAGCCTGGAACTGGGGTACTGCTGTGCCCCCTTAACTCTCTCCAGCCTGGGCTGTCTCTCACAATGCTTTGCTAGTGACAAGCAGCAACCCCTCCAGGTGCTGTGATCACTCAGCACAACAGCATGTGGAGACCTCACACCCAGCTCTATTGCATGAATGCCCCCAGAGCCACTCATGAATCACACAGAGAAAGGCACCAGCCAAACCCTCCCAGCTGCACTGTACCTCAGGGATATACTGTCTTGCACTGCTCAAGATGGGCAGTGCAAATTTATTAATCGGTTCACCACTTCATCAATGGAAAATGGACATACACAACAAGCCTTTGTAAACCTGAGCAGATTTACCACACATTTCAGGCAAACTCACTGGTAAAGATAAACAGTAAAACAAATTTATTGACTACAAATGATAGACTTTAAGTAATATCAAGTGAGTTAGTTACCAAAATAAACTCTCAACCCTATTAGACTGGGCAACATTGAGATTAAGCAGTTTTTCTCACCCCACTGAATATTGCAGTTCATAGTACACAGATTTCACCCTTGAAATCTGGCCAGTCCCCTCAGTTGGAGTCTTCAGAGTGTCCTTGTTGCTTGCAGCGTAGGTGGGTGAAGGAGAAAGGCTCAGCATGTGGCCACTGTGTCTGTTTTATACCCTCAGTCCATGTGCTGGGAAAACACAAGTCCAGGCATGTCTGGGGGCATTGCTGAGTCTCCAGCCAAGGTTGAGCAATTCCCCTGGTGTGGCTTCATGCAAGTGAGTCACTGCATTGTAGCTCCCTTGCTGGACAATGGCTGGTGATGGGTTGTTTCACACCCCGCCTGGGCGTTGGTTACTTTCCTTGCTGTTGCCTCTGGGGAGCTAATATCTGGCTGATTCCCCCAACTTACAGCATGTTTTAGTGACCACCATACAACTCAATTCTCATAACTTCATATGCATTAATGATACACATATATGGACAGAGAAACGACTTTCAGCCGATCATAACCTTTCCCCTCATACCTTACAAGGCATGCTTTATAGTCAAGATCACAATCATCTATAAATGAGGAAGATGGGGATTACAGGGCGCTCCCCCAAGGTACACAATGTCACAGCAACTCAACTCGCTCCAGCACAAAGAACCATGGGATGTGCCCCCAGAAGTCCTAGCAACAGACACAGGTGAGTGAAGCCCTGGTGAGGACCTAATTACTCAGGTATGGCTTTGCACTGTGGCGGCTAGGCAGTGGTGAGCGCTACACACAAGCAGTGCAAGACCACGAGGATGAGAAGTTCCACAATACCATTCCAGACCTTTTTTGGGGAGCTGGAATGGGGTCCTAGAGCATTCCGATGGACTCAGGCACTGGCGCTAGGCTAACGCGAGTGCTGAGACATAGGTGCCGATCACCTGAGTTAACTCTGCCGTGAAGACTTGTCTCCTCTTGATATGCACATGAGCGCACACATGCACAAACGGCCCCATGCACATATAAACACATGTGCATTCATGCACACACACACACAGGAACCCGTCTATGTTTTAATAAAGCCGGTATATTGCTATTATGCTGCTTATCATCAATTTCAGCTGAGAGAAGAAAATGTTTGTAGCGTTCCAGAAGTATGGGCTACATAGCTTAGAAATGATAAATACCCCCCAAAGGAGCCTTTTTCCATTTCAAATGGACCTCAATCATTTTTTCATCCACCTCTGCTTCTCCAGTGGAACAACATGTACCCCTATCGCTTGCTTACACTCACCCTGAACCACGTGGTTTAACCCACGATCCCCCCTCCAGGCACAGACCCACAATCATTCATGCCCCCATAGTTGTTGGGGACTGGTGAGGCAGTGGAATGTGCCTGTTGAACACACTCTGTGTGCAGAGGCTGAACGTTCAGTTTGGTGTGAGAATTGTTTCCCTAACTTTTGTTTGACATTTGCCTATTAGGATCCCTTGCAATCCTGCACTACAGTTCTGGAAACAAGGGGCGAATTGCTGGCCGCATGGAAACCAAGAGGAATTTTGCCATTGACTTTAGTTGAGCCAGGACTTCATTCTCCATCTCTTGAGTTCATCCCTGGTTCTAAACAGAGTTAGCAGTACTGTGTGGGCAGCACAAATGGTGCCTGCGTGTGTGGTGGGGAATGTAATGGTGCCTGCTTTGGGGGATCAGGAGGTATAAATGGTGCCAGGCTAGGGTGGGGAAGTTCACTTCTCTTCCGGGTGATGTGTCAATGCCAACCCACTGTGCTTTGGGGTCCTGCAGTGTTCCAGATGACTGTGATCTTCCAGCTGATGGCTTTCTGCCTGGGTCTCCTCTCCACCCTCCTCCTGGTCATAGCCACCTGCACCGATTGCTGGATGGTTAATGCTGATGATAGTTTGGAGGTGAGCAGAAAAAGCACAGCCTTTTGCTCAGTGTTCAGTGCTGTGACTAAGGAGATACTTGAATTTAGGAAGTATCAGTCAAAGGTGGGGGAGGGGGGGTTGCACTATTGCATGAACAGGGCCACAGCATATCTGCATATATTTTCATAGCTGTGTCTTACATGGAAATAGATATCAACTTAAGGTTTTTTAAATGCAAGCTTAGAATTTGAAGACTATTTCACAATGTAGCAAAAACTGTGGCGAGCTCATGAAATCACTGGACTGATGGTTCACAGCTGTAGCAAAGCAAGGCGCAGGTCATACCATCTCTTCCCTCCCCCTGCTCTGCCCCGTGGCTGCACCCCATGAGGCTGAAGATGACCCAAGGATGGGGCATAGCTGGGTAGATCCTACACACCATACAGTCAGCATACAGTGTTTTGCATTTAACATGTTTCATATATTTTATAGGTTCATAGAGTTTAAGGCCAGAAGGGACCATTAGATCAAAGTCTGACCTTCTGCCTAGAACAAGCCAGAGAATTTTACCCAGTTACCCCTGTGTTGAGCTCAGGAACTTGTGTTGGCTAACATGTATCTTCCAGAAAAGCAGCCAAGCTTGATCTGAAGACATCAAGAGACAAAAAATCCACCACTCCTCTTGGTAGTTTGTTCCAAAAGTTAACCACCCTCGCTGTTAAACATGTGTGCCCTGTTTCTCATTTAAATTTGTCTGGCTTTAACTTCCAGCCATTGATTCTTGTAACATCTTTTTCCGCTAGATTAAAAAGCCTTTAGAACCTGGCATTTTCTCCTCATGAAGATACTTGTGCATCATAATCAAATCACCTCTCAAGCTTCTTTTTGATAATTTATGCAGATCGAGCTCTCAGACTAACACGGCAAGGTATTTTTTCAGCCCTCAAATCATTTTCATGGCTCTTTTCTGCTCAGTCTCCAGATTTGTGCCTGTGTACTACAGAGAGTTTTCAAACTGTCTCAATTGGCTGGCAGCTCATAGAATCATAGGCTATCAGGGTTGGAAGAGACCTCAGGAGGTCATCTAGTCCAATCCCTTGCTCAAAGCAGGACCAATCCCCAACTAAATCATCCCAGCCAGGGCTTTGTCAAGCCAGGCCTTAAAAACCTCTAAAGATGGAGATTCCACCACCTCCCTAGGTAACCCATGCCAGTGCTTCACCACCCTCCTAGTGAAATAGTCTTTCCTAATATCCAACCTAGACCTCCCCCACTGCAACTTGAGACCATTGCTCCTTGTTCTGTCATCTGCCACCACTGAGAACAGCTGAGCTCCATCCTCTTTGGAACCCCCCCTCAGGTAGTTGAAGGCTGCTATCAAATCCCCCCTCACTCTTTTCTTCTGCAGACTAAATAACCCCAGTTCCCTCAGTCTCTCCTCGTAAGTCATGTGCCCCAGCCCCCTGATAATTTTCATTGCCCTCCGCTGGACTCTCTCAAATTTGTTCACATCCCTTCTGTAGTGGGGTGGACCAAAGCTGGACGCAATACTCCAGGTGTGGCCTCACCCGTGCCGAATAGAGGGTAATAATCACTTCCGTCGATCTGCTGGCAATGCTCCTACTAATGCAGCCCAATATGCCATTGGCCATCTTGGCAACAAGGGCACACTGCTGACTCATATCCAGCTTCTTGTCCACTGTAATCCCCAGGTCCTTTTCTACAGAACTGCTGCTTAGCCAGTCGGTCCCCAGCCTGTAGCGGTGCGTGGGATTCTTCCTTCCTAAGTGCAGGACTTTGCACTTGTCCTTGTTGAACCTCATCAGATTTCTTTTGGCCCAATCCTCCAATTTGTCTAGGTCACTCTGGACCCTATCCCTACCCTCCAGCGTATCTACCTCTCCCCCCAGCTTAGTGTCATCTGCAAGCTTGCTGAGGGTGCAATCCATCCCATCATCCAGATCATTAATGAAAATGTTGAACAAAACTGGCCCCAGGACAGCCCCCTGGGGCACTCCGCTTGATACTGGCTGCCAACTAGACATCGAGCCGTTGATCACTACCCGTTGAGACTGACAATGCTTTCTTGGGTTAGGCTAGCCCCAGAGGATCATGGGATGTTTTTTGCTTGAGTGTCTCTATCTTTAATTTCTTTCTTCCTCTTCTAGGTCAGCCTCAAATGCCGGGGGCTGTGGAGGGAATGTGTCACCAACGTGCAGGATGGCATCAGGACTTGTGACCAGTATGACTCCATTTTAGCAGGCCATCCATGTGAGTCCTGCTTGTCGTGATGAGAGTGGGTGTTCGGGAATAGGGTGTTTTTACAAAACAGATGTTACAACGTTAAGCAATTCATTGTGATTTGGAGTTTGCATTGAGCTATATAGTTTGCCTCTTCCCACTGTAACAACCAACGCTTTAAAAAAATCCTTTTTAACCTTTAATTAAACACATATAAAACATTTAAAACATTAAAAACCCAAAGTGAAGTAAAACTTCATGTGAAAAATTTCATCTCTTTTCCTTTAGTTGTTTAGATTCTTTTATAGGGGCAAGTCCCCTGCTTAGCAGTCACATTTAGATGGTATTAAAAGCTTTAATTGTGTGATGGGGTATACAAACCCCGGGGCAACAAGGGGTTAAGAGATTATTTTGGGCTCACCCAGCCCCGCCCCGCCACACCTGCAACAAATGCTCCATCTACTGGAGGAATTAAAAGACAGGGAATTAGCTCATTTGGGTGGCAGAGCTGGAGGTGAGCAGATCTGCAGCCTACAGCTCCAGCAGAGCAGAGCAGAGGGAAGTCTAAAGGCTCTGACAAAGCTGCCCAAAGGGGCCCTACCTGAGGGAAGGGAGGACCCACCCCAGAGACAACCAGAGAGGGAAATAGCCTCCTGTCTCCCATCTGTGGACCCTGGACATTGATAGCCCCCTCTTATGTATTTTGGTTTGGACTTCCCAACAGGGAACTAAGGTTTGGACTAAGCTGACCTAGGGGAAGGACGAGAGGAAGTGGCCCAGGGAGGACAGCCTTAAGCAGCCTTGGTTGCCAGAATACTGGTAGCACAAAGGGCCCTGGGTCGGAGCTCGGTGGAGTGGGAGGGCCCGGGCTCCCCTCCCACAATCCCCTTGGCAGTCAGGGGTTGTGGCCGTGACCACTAGGCCACACTCCCCAACCAGACCCCGAGTGAAGACCATTCCAGACTAGGATAAAGGCAGTGGAGCAGATCTCAGCTGGTGTCCATTGCCATAGCTCCAATGATGCCAACGGAGCTTCGACAATTTACACCGGCAGAGGATCTGCCACAGTCAGTTTTAGATGATCTTCAGTTGTTCCTGTCATTATCCTGTTCGCGATGAGACAAAGGCATTATCTAAACATACGAGTTCTACCAATGGATCATACATCGATGTCGACGGTGGGCGTTCACCCTGGCGTCAGCTACATTACAATTAAACCATGTGTCCAAACAGTGCTGTGCTGCCTGGATTGTCACACACGCCACTGTGCGTATTTGCCTGGTAGATGTCCCATAGTTTTAAGTGTGGTGGAAAGGGGAAATAACTCTCCTGACATTCAGGCCGCTGTGTCTTGCGTAACACGGTGAAATCCTTGCAGCAGTGAGAAGACTGATACTAGTAACACAACACCACCCAGACACGGCTCACGCTGTGATATCTATATTATTAATTATTATTGTTATAGTACAGCCTAGGAGCCTTAGTCACGGCCCAGGACCCCATTGTGCTAGGCACTGTACAAACTTGAATAAAAAGACCGTCCCAGAGCTCACAGTCTAAGTACAAGACAACAGATGGACACAACAAGGAAACAATGAGACGCTGTTGGACAGCACGATAAGCAGTGGTTACAGTGTGGGACAACCACCCCCTTAGACAACACATCAGGACTGAACCAGGGACCTCCATGGCTAAGCTAAACCAAGCCAAAGCTCTGCAGCTGGGGGTTGTACCAGACTCGTGTCCTCTTTGGATCGGACCCAGAGGGGGACCTGTAACAAACACTCACCAGTGGGTTACAATAGCACACGTGTGTTACCCATAGAACAGCAGCACGCCTAACACAGAGTGATAGAAGGTGTTTGGAGTCAAATCCACACTGTCATGCCTGTGATCTGTCCAGTTTTTGCTTTGTTCGCTCTTCTCAGTGAAGATCGTGGTGACGCGAGCACTGCTGATCGCAGCTGACATTCTGGCGGGCTTGGCTTTGATTACGCTGCTGTTGGGTCTGGACTGCATCAAGTTTCTCAAGGAAGCGCCCCATATCAAACTGAAGATGTGCTACATGGCTGGGTTAACCCTTGGCCTTGGAAGTAAGTGTTCCAAAGCACTAGCAATCTGCCTTGTCAATAACAAAACTGTGTAGTGGAATGGGATTTGAGTCCACTGGACCTGGGGAGTGGTGCTGGCTGAGTGAAGCTGGGGCTGGTGGAGCTGGCGAGGCTAGAAGAATATTGAGTGGGATGGGGTCAGATCATGGTGCGTGCTGTGGTGTGGCATGGGTAGGATAGAGCTGTGCTGTATGTGATAGTCTCAACTGGAGGGAGGGGATGTTGAGTGGATTGCTGTGGGGCAGTGGCTCTCAGCTTTTCAAGACTACTGTACCCCTTTCAGGAGTCTGATTTCTCTTGCGTACCCTCAAGTTACACCTCACTTCAAAATTACTTGCTTGCAAAATCAGACGTAAAAATATGTGTCACGGCACACTATTACTGAAGAATTGCTACTGTCTCATTTTTACCATACAAGTATAAAAGAAATCAATTGGAATATAAATATTGTACTTACATTTCAGTGTATAGTATATAGAGCAGTATAAACAAGCCATTGGCTGTATGAAATTTTAGTTTGTACTGACTTCGCTAGTGCGTTTTACGTTGCCTGTTGTAAAACGAGGCAAATCTCTAGATGAGTTGATGCACCCCCTGGAAGATCTCTGCTGGTACGTACCCCTGGCTGAGAACCACTGCTGTAGGGCAACAGTAGAGATAAGAATGGAATGGCATTGGGTGGGGCAGGGCAGATGGGGTGAGTGAAATGGCATTGGGTGGGTGGGTGGAGTGAGTTTTGGGTTGAGAAAGGCTGAGCTGGGAATAGTGAGATTGGGTTGAATTGAAGCACTAGGTGGAATGAGGATGAAAAGGGTGCGGTGATAATACATACATACACATAAACATACATATATTCTTCTATACAGTCAATTTGGATAGCATCATTGGGTGGGATTTGCATAGAAACCTAAGGCCTGGTCTACACTACAAAGTTACGTCACTGTAAGCCGCTAAGCACTCAACTATTTGTGCATTTGTCTCCAGCTGACATAAGCGCCCCATTATGGCAACACAGTAAAACCACCTCCCTGGAAGGCCTACTTAGTGCAAGTGTAAACACTGAATGACCTGTGTCGACCCTAACAGTCCTCCAGCAGCTGTCCCACAATGCCCCTTTCCCTGCGACAGTGACCACTCTGTTCACAATTTTAAACTCCACTGCCCATGGGTCACAGAGACCAGAAGCCACCACTGCCTCAACTCCACCTCTGTTGTGTGCAACTGCCCAACCGACCAGATCAGCTCCACGCGCCCAGAGAAGTACTAGATGCGCTTCTGCCTAGAGTAGACTGAAAGTATTGGATCTCCTGGGCCTCTGGGGAGAAGAGGCTCTGCAAGTGCAGCTACAGACCAGCCCTAGAAATATGGACGCCTATGAGTAGATCTGGACAGGGGATGCAATTGATGGGCTCCAACAGGCATCAACAGCAGTGCTCTGTGAAAGTGAAGGAACTGCTCCCAGCATATCACAAGGCCACGCAACACAACAATAGATCTGGTGCTGCAGTGCAGACCGGCCATTTCTACAATGAATTGCATGCTAGACTTGGCAGAGATCCTACCAGCAGCCTGTAGTCTACTGTGGATCCCTCAGAGACAGAGATTGCTGCCATGAACAGCAAGGAGGAGACAAGACAGGGCACTCTAGCCTTGCTGCAAACCAGGACCTGCTCAAGATTCTGCCACAATCTGGCCAGTCCCACCAGGTCAGCACAGATGAGCCTGATGAAGGGAAAGGGAACTTGGATAAGTGTGTAAGGGCATTTTTCCTTACAGTGCTTAAATTCAAAGCTGGTGCCCAGCCCAGCCCCGAGTTAACAAGACAAAGGTATTGACTGTTAATTGTTTTACTAGTAAGAGAAAAGATAGTGGTACAGCAGAGATGGCAGAGTTGGCAGCTGCTTTTCATTCCCCTCTTGGGTTAGGCGGGTGTGGAGGAGAACACGGAACACTTTGTTTATGTGAACAAGAATCCCTTTTATCCTCCGGAGAGATCGCAGCGAAACTTAGCTGGAGATACTCTGCAGTCCCCTCCCGAAGGTTTCTAAGCACGGCTGCCTTACTTCTTCCTCCAAGGCAGGACACTTTCCCACGCCACTCTGTGATGAGTGTGGCTGGCACCATTGCAATTAACAGGCTTGTGGCATACAGGAAGGGGTGGCTTTGGGACACCAGCACAAGCTGTGTCCTCTGTGCCTTTGTGACCCTCAGGAGTTAGATATCAACTAAAATCACCATTGCCTGTGAAACATAGTGCCAATATTCAGTGTCATTTCCCTATATTCCTATGCCTGTGGAGTAGGGACTGAAATTGTATAGCTTCATGCAACAGAAAATCCTTCCCCACCTCACCCCTGGTAGGCCATACTCATCATGGCTGGGGCTGGAGATAGTGCTGTGCCGAGGTGCTCCAAAACTGAAGTGTCAATATGCAAGTCTTATTAAAAGTGTTTATGGGAATAAAGAAGGGGAGCTTCTCACCCACAGAACACCTGACAATGAGGAGGAGGAGGAGAAAGACGAGGATTAGGAAGGACATGTTCTGCGAGATCCTTCAAGCCAGTGCTTCATTGGCCCGTGAACAAAGGGCTTGGAGTGCCAATGTGACTGTAACATGGAGAAGGAAAGAGAGGACAGGAAAACGGCCCAGGAGTCCCAGCAGGCGAAAGAATGGGAAATGAACCAGGACAGAATGGGATTTCTCAGGCATCAAGGCCAAATGCTGCAGACCCCAGTTGATCTACAGGTCCAAAAGTCCTGGATTCTCCACCCTTTGCATTCTTTGGAGAACTCCATGGTTACTTCTCCATACACCCTCCAACATACCACACGGCATCATGTAATCTTACCCCTAACACTTCACGCTGCAGGACAGCAAGGAAAACCACAGCTTCACATACCTGTGGGAACCATGACTGGGGTATGTGTAGCCACAACAGACTACATTTGTTTACTCAAATGGACGTATATGTTTACTTCCGCTCTCATTTTAAATTTTCATCCCATTATGTTAAAAATGTGTATAACATTGCATATGGGTTTTGTTGCACTTTGATTTTCAGCATGGTTTATTGCCATCCAATAAAGTTCTATTTTTAGATAATCAAATTATCTTTATTCGTTCACAGCAAATACACCAGACTGCATAGCGCTAAGTCAAAACAAACAATTCTCGTAAATGCACACTTAGCACCACACAGTTCATAGCTTCAGAAAGATACCCAGTCATACTTATAAATATACAGCAAGCACTGCACAATTCCTAGTAGCACCAAAAGCTCCAGGCCAGGCCCAGAGAACACTCCAGCACAGAACACTACTGGCTGACCATTAAAGTGCTCTTTCAAAGCCTTCCTCAACCAATAGCTCCATGTTGTAATAGCTGTTGTGTCTGGCTGTTCACAGTCAGCAGAAAGCCACTCCAACACTGCCCCCAAATCTGGGGGCAGCTTTTCCCCACTTTGTCTCACAGATGTTATGCAGGACACAACAGGCAGCTACAACCATTAGGATATTTTTCTCACTGAGATCCAATCTAGTGAGTAAACACTGCCAGCATCTCTTCAATCTACCAGAAGTACATTCAACTGTCATTCTGCACTGGTAGTTGAATCTTTCCTTGATAAATCATAGAATGTCAGGGTTAGAAGGGACCTCAGGAGGTCATCTAGTCCAACCCCCTGCTCTAAGCAGGACCAATCCCTAGACAGATTTTTGTCCCAGATCCCTAAATGGCCCCCTCAAGGATTGAACTCACAACTGTGGGCTTAGCAGACCAATGCTCTAACCACTGAGCTATCCCTCCCCCCCTGCTGTTGAGGTGGCCAGTGTATGGCTTCATGAGCCAGGGGAGCAAGGTCCCCCAGAATCACTATTGGCGTTTTGTTATTGCCAATCTGCCAGTTATGAAAGAATGTCCCTGCTTGCAGCTTTGTGAAGGGTTCTGTGTTTTTACAGATGCGGGGTAGGTGCTGAGGTGAATGCACTCTTCAGTTGATTAAAGACCAACGGAGCCTCTGTGGACTAGGCAAACCAGACCCTCTTTTGCAGAAGTGCCATTAGGGGTGCAACCAGGCTAGAGAATCCTTTAATAAAGCACCTAGATATTGGCAAACCCTGGGAATTGCTGCACCCCACGTACATCCTTGGGTGCAGCACAATTGGCTATTGCTACCACCTTCTACGAGTCCCTGGTGAGTCCCTCAGAACTTCTACGGTGTCCTTATTGAACTCGGTGTAGAGGTGGTTTTGGCAGAGTCTCTCCAAGACAGTGTGCATTTGATGATTGTGGCAGTCCTGACTTTCAGAGAAAATGAGGATGTCATTCAGGCAACTAACAGCACAGGCGCAGTGGCACAGGTGCCAGCAAACGGGGCTGAAAGTAGGGGGAGTTTGAGGAAGTTTATTTGGGAGGGACTGTGCGGTGGTCTGGTTTTGTCTTGGGTTTGGTTTTTTGTTTTCGTTTGTTTGGTTTTTTCCCTTGACAGGTGCTTAGGCAGGAAGGCAGAAGTGGTAGTGACCTAAGGAATGGAAGAGACAGTGAAGATGACCAGATGTGGCAGCTGCGGGATGTACATTATCGTGGAACGGGTACCCAAAAAGAGCTTTGTTTGTATGAAGTTCTGCCTGACAGAGCTGATGGAAGAGAAGATCTGAGGTTTGGAGATGCAGGTGGAAACTATGGTTGAGGTTTGAAGGGGATTTGAGCAGATAATGCAAGGAAGGCAAGAGGAGGCTGAAGGCAAAAGTTAACACTCACAGATGCAAGCTAGACTGGAGAACTCTGAGGGGAGACTGCTGGGTGAGGAAAGTGACCAGTGGAAGCAAGTGACTATGAGAATCAGGCAGAGGAAAAGACTGGCTAGTGAAGGAGAAATAGAGCTCAGGAACAGGTTTGCTGAGTTGGAAAATGAAGAAGGGGCACATCAGGCAGTAACAGAAGGTGGATGGGCCAGAAAGAAGAGAAGAGCGGCTAGTCCTAT